ATATATATATATATATATATATATATATATATATATAAATTCATTCTTTTTCTTCTGAAAAGCATAATTTACAATGAAAATATACATTATACTGTACATGTGTTTACTGTAAAATCCACTTTCACTGTGAAAGCTAAAACACAAAAAACATATATAATATAAAATATATAATATAATTTAAATGTAATTTATTTTAGATTTAACAAGATAATCATAATTTAATTTAAGTAGAAATTATTAAAAAATTTATTTTGTTGCATCAATAGTTGTTGATTATTCTCAGCTGATGATGCAAAACGTCACACAGCTTTTCCTACTAAAATGAAGCAAACGTGCGATATAAATGCATCAGACAGTGTTAAAGTCTTGTAAAGCACCTTGGCGATCTCCTCCTCCAAGCGCCTGAGATCGGTTTCCTCCGGAGGAGAGGCGCCCCGTCGCTCCACCGCGTCTCTCAGTGTCTCCAGCTCCTCACGCGAGCTCTCGTACGAGGCTTTCCGGCCGTATATATATATAAATTCATTCTTTTTCTTCTGAAAAGCATAATTTACAATGAAAATATACATTATACTGTACATGTGTTTACTGTAAAATCCACTTTCACTGTGAAAGCTAAAACACAAAAAACATATATAATATAAAATATATAATATAATTTAAATGTAATTTATTTTAGATTTAACAAGATAATCATAATTTAATTTAAGTAGAAATTATTCTTTTTAGAAGAAAAAATGAATTTATATAAATTATATAATTTACAATCAAAATATATAGATAATTCTATACATGTAATTCTATAGTAAAACACTAACACTTTCATTGTGAGAGCTAAAATATATAAATATAATATAAAATATAAATGTTAAAATTATTTAAAATTTACAAGATAATTTTACTGTAATTAGAAATTATACTTTTGAGAAGTAAAAAGTATGAATTATCTTATATTATTTAATATAAAACACTTCGAATTTTATTTTTTATTTTTTTTTAAGTATAACATATAAATGACCTTATTTATAACTAGTATATTAAACAAACGTGTTTATGGTTCAACTGGACTGTACTACCAAGAAAAACTGTTATTGAAATAATAGTGCAGTACAAGGTTACAAAGCAGATTTCATTCACATGGTGACCAAAGGAGGTCCTGTAATGCACAGAACATTCAGACTGTGTTTCTAACTGTACTTTACCAAACATTTAACACAAAGTGTGCAGTGTAAGAGCGAGTGGGTATGTGAATGAAGCACACACTCATGCATAACGTCACTCAGCTGCAGGCTCAAAAGCACAAAAGCACAAGAAAATCACAAGACCTGAGGGAGAAACACTGAGGTGAGACTGACCTGAAGACGATCACAGCGCTCGTCTCTCGTCCGCAGCGGACAGACGCTCGGCATGCTGGGAAAACACAGACCGAGAGAGTCAACAAAGCAGAAACACTGACCTCATACACCACAACACCGCGCTTGATGAGAAAAAATTAATTAATTAAAAACATTTTTTTTTTATTAAATACAATAATTCAATAAAAATACAATAAAAAATAAAAATATGATATTATATATAAAAAATATGATATTTTGTTAAATATTATATATAATATTATATAAAATAAAAGTACAAAAAAATTATTTCAGCATGAACAATGAGGGAGTGAAATTGTCATGAAAATCTTAAAGGGATACTCTATTGAAAACAAAGACATTGTGAAGAACATCAGAACCCACAGACTCGCATTTTTAAATTTTTAAAGACATTTCCCAAAAATATCTTCTTTTATGTTCCATTGAAAACACAAAGTCATACAGGTTTGAAACAACATTAGGGGGAGTAAATGATGAATGGATGAACTAAACCTTTGATGATCATAAAACAGGCTTCATTTTCTTTAAGTATTACTAATTATTTTGTGGAGAGAATGAAATAAAAACGACATGTTCTCCGTAGGTTTTGAGAGATTTGACGCATTATTTAATCATTTAGATCAGTGTTTCTCAACCAGGAGACCTCAATAAAACAATAAATAAATTGAAAATAAGACAAAACTAAAACTCAAGATATATATTTTAATTCACTCCCTCAACAACTGTTTCTGACTCCAGATTCACATGGTTTTGGAAAACCTAGATATACGAGGAAACCTCATTTTAAAAGCGTGATTTCTAGACCTGGAAAATTAATACAATCTAAAATGTTTACTTTTCATGCATATATATTTTTCTAGTGATGCCAGCTCGAAAATCTTTTGTTTAAAAAAATGTATAATATTTTAAAAAGCGGAAACCCTGGAGACTAATTCAAATTGTGAGTAAAAAATATTTTTTAAATTCCTATCCTTTATCACCAGCGCAGGAAATCACAAGCAACCGGAAAAGTCACGTAAATGCATTGGTTAAAAAGAGTGGAAACCCTGGAGAATAAATAAATAAATGTGTAAAATCCCTTTGAATATTGTCTTTGATAATGAGAGGCCTAAAGAAGTACAGAAGCTAAATGCAGAAAAACAAAAGAGAAAGGGATTTTTTAGCATGCATTTAGTGTCCATTTGGAGGCAGCACAGCTCCATATCTCCTTATAGTGTCCCTTATCAAAGAAAACGCCTCTGGATTTCTCTGATCGGAGATGTGTGAGGGTTTGACTCAGCTCTGGGCTTTAAACGCATCTATCATTAGTGCAAGCGCTTCAGAAACACTCGGCAGAGATGGACGCGCACCGAAGCTGAAACTCTTAACGCGGGTTAATATTTAAAGAAACACACACACACACA